TTTACGATAAAGTATGAGATATCTATCTGTGGAGAAAGGATGTTCCGTCTGTGACTTGCAAGGGAATTTGATTCATATTCCGTTTACATTCACAGAAGGAGAACTACCAAAAAAAACTTTATAATCAATATATTCGCTTGAGTTGCCATGTAAGCTTACGCATATGAAATTCTGCACACTTTGGAATTACCCTGCAGACCATTTTCGCCAAACTTGATATTATCGCCAAGGTTTCTTTAGTGTGTTGAAATATACTGCTTGTTTTTACTTCTGTGAAAAATGATTCAAATTTGGGATTTGCCTAGCACCGAAGAGAGTGCCGTGGCATATTTTCAAGAGTACGGAATCATTTCTTCTAAGAAAATGTGCGTTAATGGCCACGATATGGCGCTGTATATCAACACTGATAAGCAATGACTGTGCAATGTAAAGGGGTGCGATAAACGAGTAGCTATTCGAAAAGGCACGTGGTTTGAGGGCTCAAAACTCCCGTTTCTGACTGCCCTCCGGTTTATTTACTGCTGGTCGCAAGAATTAGCATCAATTGAATGGGAAGAAAAACATCTGGATTTAACAGGAAAGACCATTGTTGATTGAAACAATTATATGAAGGAAGTGTACACTCATAACCTTTTACATCTTGATTGTAGAGATAGATGATAGCCTTTTTACAAAGAGCAAAATCCAAGTCGGTCGTATTCTTCCAGAACAAAGGATATTTGAGGGACTCTGCGGAGAGACCAACAAAGTTACAAAACTGGTGAACTGGAAGTAGCGAGATTCCAACACTTTAAAGTGAATCACCGATATAATTTTGTGCATCCTGAAACTGGCACACATACACAAAATATAGAACGGTTATGGGCTTTGACAAAATGCAGAAACAAGAAACACCGCGGATCTACTCGAAAACACTTGAATTCGTATTTAAACGAATCTATGTGGCGGAGAATGCACAAGGATAACGACTTGTTTGTTTGTGCTTTAAAAGCTATGTGTTTGTGTTTATATAACTATGCTTTAAAAGCATGTGGTTAGATTCAAGAATAATTCAATGTGTAATTATAAAAAATGTACAGGTTTTTCCTTTGCTTTGATTCTTTTTATTACACTTTTTTATTATATATTAATACATTTGCATTTTTGTTATAATTATTTCATGAATTTATTGTGTTTAAAATGCTTATTTTAGAAATTGCTTTTCATCATGATGGTGCTAAAGGTTGTGCTCATTTTCGCGAGCGTTTTCAGGTCGACTGGATAATTCCAAAGTACAGATATTGTTCTCCGAATGCATTTTTCGATGAAACGTTTATATCCTAAAATTTCAAAGCTTTAAATGTAATGCCAATTAAGGAGAATATCATGAATGTATGAGCGAGCTCGTGTGAAACAAGAGATTCATAAGTTCTCAAATGTAAAGTCCCCACTCGCACTAAATATGTATACTACATAGTTCTGCACTTTATTGGGGACTGTACTATTTGTCTGATTGAAGGAGGATTATTCATTTTTAATAGAAACTGGCCTGTATAACACAGTATACAAATAAGTAGAACCACGGAAACCCATACTTGCACCCAATGCAGCCAACATTCTTACCTGGATTGCCAAATGCAAATTTTCACGCATATAGAAATTCAAACGGTATTTTTGAATACATATAAAATCTTTATTTGTAAAATAAATTTAAAATATGCATTAAATTTGAAGGGAATTTGTAGATTATGTTTGAGGGCATGAACATATGTTCGATTCCAAGCAAAATGACTGAAAGTAAAATTAGCTTCAATTCTAGCTTAGTAAACCAAAATTACCTCTTCATGTTTATTGGTAACATTTACTAATAGGGTTAATAGGGTGTATACGGACTACCAGCTAAAATGGGGAAGAAATTGTCCGTTGGTGATTAATGCTAGCAGCGATATTACTGATCACTTTTTGCAGTAGTAATTCTCATTCATAGGGAAAGATACGATCTTCTGATTTGCAGTATACCATCTCAATACATCACCTTTACGACTGAGGAATTCAGAGCTAGCTTAATCAAGTGCATTTTGCACTGATTAACATTAGAATCTTTAGCCATAATCTGCAACTCATGCTGCCAAATTAAAACTGTTTACATTTTAAAGTACTTCTCCATTGCTCATTTCTTCAGCTTCCGAAAGATCAAAATGTCTCTACAATGCCGCCCGAACTTGATGAATGATGATTCTCCAAAACCAGGATTTGGCGATCCCCAGTCGCCCTTTAAAAGGGGGACTTTATAAGGTATTTCTCCCGCCTTTTCAGCATGCCTTCGTTGTATAATGGTCAGAACTCTCGACGAGTATTCGAGAATTCCATGGTTCCTGTCCCGGCAATGGCATAGCTAATTTTTCATCGCGCTTGCTTTAAAATTACCTAATGTCTCTACAACATTAAGTACGGATTAATCACAATCCATTTTACAAGGAGATTGTATTCATGCTGTAAGTATGGCTTACTTATGTGTGATTTGTGCAATATAATCTTTAACCTTATTTATGCCATCTATATTTTACAATTATAATTGTTTACTTTGCGCATAAACAAAAAATATGACACTAAGAAGGAAAGTATGGTTAAATAAGGAAATTATACTGATATAAGGGTCGTATATGCAGGATGCATCCAAAATATCTGGCAAAATTGTACGGTAGAGATAACCAAACTAAGCAGATTTTGTAATAGAATGTATGTGCGGAAATAAGCGTGGTACGGAATGCTGTTGGACGGCAGGTTGGGCAAGAGGCCAGCGGTAGGTTCCACTGGCTTAAATCATTATTCCTCATGCAGATTTCGAGCATATGCATCGCTGCACAAACGCGGATCTCGTCGATATGCATTTTATCTGTGCAGCTACAGATACGAACAGGACAGCTTCTCAAAGGAGATATTCGGGATTCGATCTCTACACTTCCTTTGAGTAACTGATCCATAAAATCCCTATCCACGAGCTCCAGGTTCACGCAACAATGCATCATTGCTGGACGTTTCTGCGGGGAATGACTTACACCACCAGAGCGCTTATAATGCTGCTGAATTGTGCCTTGTAACACCGCAATATGCCACTTCCGTCTAAATACTCCCTTACAAAATTTACTCATTTGTGTTCTCTTTACCTATTGTTACATTTTTATCAGATAGTTTGCAGTCACCGGTGTAATGGGTGAAAAAAAACAAAGAACTGGCTTAAAAGGTAAGAAGCAACTCCAAAATAAGAAACTTCTGAATCTGATTATTATATATCTTCATTAAATTCCGGTAAAATATATTTAGAAAAAAAAAATCTCTTGGATTTTTCAGTAAAGTTAGGAACATTCCTTAACATCAATTATGGTTTCTTCTGATGTCATATCGCTTTTTAATTATGTTCCAATGAAAGATTACAGTCATCTGTTGAAACGAGGCATCTAGAATTCAATTTCATTTATACTATAATTAAAAAACTAATCACTATCGTTAGCGTTTCTCTGAGTCAGACACATTTAGATTTCCGAAAATAATTACCATTGCTAATCTAAGAATTAAATATCGCAATTCTTTTCAGTTTAGAATACACTCATAATTATAGGCATTATATGAGGGAAAATTATTTAATAAACTGTATTTTCCTTTCTGGGTTCGCTACATTGATTATACTTCTGCACTTTTGGATGGTAACAAAAAGGACTTGGCAAAAATATCGTGTGTTACTAATTCGAATGATTTAGCATTTCAATTAGGGAAGGAGTTAGTTATCTTTGTACTTTCACCTTTCAAGTTATTCATCACAGTCTTCATCTTCCTCTTCTATTGTTTACCTCCTCTTTTCCATTTCTGTTATGTTATTTTGTTAGCTTAAAATAATTTCTGTCTGCCCGAATAAAAGCAGTTCTTGTAGCGAAAAGAAATGAAAGGTTTACTTTAATTAGCACATTATGTTTATATTAAATCTGCCCATTATTGTTAATTTCTTCTTTCACTATGCTCCAAAATGGGTTCATTGTTAACATTAAATATATTTACACTTCAGCCTATACATTTGTAACATTATTTCTAAGATTAAGTCTATTTATCGACCTTGCTTTTCTCTAATAAATTACAAATATAAATTGAACAATGCTAGAATAATTTCTAATTTTAACAAAATTAAAACTAGCTCAGTTTGGGGCTCTGGGACTATCTAATCACAAATACTACCAAAACGCACTCATTAAAATGTACACTTACATTCCCGCTCATTATTTAAAATCCATATAATTTGTATTTCTGGTGGAGATGACGGAAGAAACAGAAGTATCGGACAGATTTAACATAAACAACAGCGGTGTTTTTTTTAACCTTAGCTATTAGCCAAGCAAGAGATCAAGTTATTCGATAGTTTTAATCTATATATTTGGAGTTATGTAGCCGGATTGACAAAATTACAAAATTCTTGATATCGGAGGTGCAGAGCAAAGATAGCCGTAAGTTATAAGGAATTGTCGCATTCGCTCTTGTATTCTGTCATGATGTAAGCAATTTGCACATCCAGCTACAGCTGGAAGATCAATGGTTCATGACCCGAGAAAGTAATGTAATGTAAGCTTAATGTTCCTACAGTGGCCCCCAAATTAAAAGACGGTGAAGAAAATTCGTCACCTCTTTCCCGACTGGGTATTATGGCTCTTTCCAGTCGAGCGTTCAGTATGAGAAAATACTAGGAATTACCATATTTTTCTGTGCATGTTCTCACAGTCTTAACATTCCCAGCTATTTCTGGAAAACGAAAGCACAGTTGATTATTTTAAAGTGAATTTTTTGTACAGTTGATATTTTTAAGTTTCCTGCTCCAGAAGATTAATGAACTTACAAGACAGGTGCTTTTTACGCACAATGCTATATATTTTCGACAAAAAACATTAATTGTTTTTGATAACTTTCTATTTTTGATCACATAACATAAAAAAACTATAAGTAGAAACATGTCTGACCAAACATGTCTCCTCTTACAGGTTTCATCTTTATGTCTCTGCGAGTTATAAGAATATACCTGTCTGTTCAGGAAGCAACACGGAAGCCGACTAGGGGTGGATAACCGGACAATGAAAGTGTCGACGTAGGAGATAAAACTAACGACGTCATGCTCTCCCATCTTCGTCTTCCTTCGCTTCCTAGCTGGAGAACAGATAATTTACCACAATGGGAATAAAAGCGGAGAATTGTGTGTTTCTGGAAACAAATTTTTCCTGACAACGAAAATGTCATATATTTATAAGACATTTTAGTAGCAAAGTGAAACTAGTATCACTAACTTCCCACTTTGAATTTTCTACAGTCTGGCTTCCCCTCGGTTGTACTTTTAAAACTCTAAATTAAATATTCTTTTTGCATTTGTGGATATTTTTATATATTCTCTTAACTAATTTCATAAAATGAGTCTTCCGTGTTTACAACAGAAAGAAAGAATATGAATGAAAATTGAACTTTTTTTAAAAAATGAAAAAAAAATGTATTAAATTACATCATACACAATTATTTTGTTCCATCAACATCTTTGGTGTATATTGACATCTAATATTATGATCCTGCGGTGTGAAATCAAAGTGACACATTGAACCTAATGGCTAAAATGCAGTTTTATCTCAATTTGTTGGCGAGTTATCGCACTTAGTTATCGCCTATTTGATTGTGATTATGAAATTAAAATCCAACATAAAAGCTAATTAAGCGTGGTTTACAAATGAAAGGACAACATCAACTAAAGCGATGACTTATTGTATTCAAATATTACATGATAAGCAGTAGAGTCATTAAGTTTTGCTTAAGCCGAAAACAGGAAAAATGAGCAATGTCCTCGCCGGGTCTCGAACCTAGACCTGTCGAATACCCGCCGTGTGTGCTACCGTCAAACCACGAAGGCATGCTGGAAGGAGGGAGAAAGTACATTATAAAGCAGAAGGGCTTGATGTCTCAGATTTCAATTATTTTCAAAACAAGAATCTTACAAAAAGCTAAAAAACTGGTCGTTCTACATTATAGCCAAATATTTAACTCGCTAACCAACAAAAAGCTTCTATGGTCTTCTATGGATTTAACAAGACCTAATTCTCAGTGAAACAGCAGGAAACGTTTCACTAGTCCTACATTTAGGATAAACTTTTATATCGCATGCCTTTAAATTTGCGTAACTTTCTCTCAAGCAAAACCTGTGAGGTTGAACTAAGACGAATACGATAGGGATTAATTACAAATCTAACTGCAGTTAAATTTAAAATTAAATGTCACAATACTTAAGATTTGCCTTACTTTTACCTTCAGATGGCTGTGAATATAACTTAAAATAATTTTTAACGAAACTAATTTTTACATCATAATTCTTTTCATGCTATATTATAATAATCAAACATTTCTTGCGAAGTTCTGATCTTCAGTAGTTATATAATTCTTAAGTTATGGTAAGTTATACTGAAACAGTTATGTTGAACATTTTAGAATCTGCAATCAAATATTCAACCAGTTAGAAAATTTCTAATTGCCTTACATATTAAGTGTCTCTTGGCACACATTTTATCTGTTGCTCACTAACCGAAGATAAAGGAGACCTTTTGAAGTCGCAACAAGGAGGGCTATCTAGGCAGTAGAACTATGCCGTTGAAAAACAAAAAGAGGAGTTATTGATAAAAGATGGAATCCTCAACACTATCAATATCAGAGATGACTGTGTAAGAAATTTTTCTCTTCCTTAATGCGTGCCCTTATGAAGCAATTTGTAGCACATTCTGCTGGCTATCGGGAGTTTTGGAGTTCGTATTCCGGCGAAGGCACGGTTAATTTTCGTTGTTCCTCGATTTGAAATAAAATAATGACTCTTGCAGCTGCGCCCGGCTAAAATGTGATGAGAAATAATAGCTAAATTAACACGTAACCACCTAAATTTGGCAACTGTGTCCCCCTTTTTTCCAGTCACCGTTCAAGTTGGAGAGAATGTAGAGAGTTCAAGTTGGAGAGTCACCGTTCAAGTTGGAGAGAGACCGTAAAGAGTCACCGTTCAAGTTGGAGAATTTTTTCCATCCTTATGTCCATCCTTATCTCCATCCTTAAGCCTTTGTGGCGTAATCTGAAACGCATCGCATTGGCAATCGAGAAGTCCATAGTTCGAATGCCAGCGAGTGCATTGTTTATTTTCAAGTTTCTTGCTCCCAAATAAACTTACGCCTCCACTTATGCCTACGAAATAAACCTACGCTAGTTCCTAATTTGAGGCCCGGTGGCGCAATGGCCAGCGCATCGCGCCACCACAGGTTCGGGATTCGATCCCCGGGTTGGGCAAAATCGATTTAGCCTTTCATCCCTTAATTTCCATCTCTTGGGTCGATGAAAGGAGTACCAAGTTCGCTTGGGGACTAAGCACTGGGGGCGGACCACTTGTTCAGGGCATATGCTTACGTACCCCGGGGCCCACGGTCAAAATTCTAATTTACTGGAGCAGTACTGGAAATGGCATCCACAGTTACCTAAAACCTGATTAATGTGAGGTTAAAAAAACACAAGAAAAAGGAAAACCATTTTTAAACTAATAAAAAAATACTGTTAACAACTTATTCCTATTTTCAAGCAGTTTAATTTGCAGAAGAAGTATACTTGGTTACGTAAATCATATGAGCATTTAAAGGAAGAAGAACACATTGTAAATAACAGGTAAATAAACATCATTAAGATAAACTAACTTATAAATAGAGTTGTAGATCGTTGCTTACAAATGATCCCGATAAGCTACCAACTTCAAATTGTGTACACACATCGTTGGTCGAGACAATGCAATGTGAGAAAGCGCTTTTTATAAAATTCGATTTAGATTTTTTTCATTTAGTGTTTATTGCATTTTTTGCACGTATCTTTGTTTAACGAAAAACTAAGCATATCAAAATTTTACTGTTTACACCATCGGATCCAGCAAAAAAATCTTTTCAGTGAAACAAACTTTTCGCCCTCTTTTTAATGAAAAGGGATAATTAAAATATAAATTGTGCTATTTCCTATATTTTTAAAAAGTGTATTTGCAATGTGAAGCAAACGGAAAGAAAAGTGTTTCTCGTGTAAAAATTACTTTTGAGTTAACCATCGTGGAACGCTTAGCAACGAACTGGCGATATTCCTTTTTAAGGAACTTTTTTTATTTGCAACGTATAATTGGCACGTATAACTGGTAACGTAAAACTTTAAAAAATGAAATACAACTAAAAAAAAGCTTTTTTCATTAATTTGATATTAATGCACGAAAAGGAGAAAAAAATGTTCATGTATAATGGATTAAATACTTCTATTCACACAATATATCTATAATTTTACATCGCGAATAATAAATACGTACGGCTCTCACGATAAGTTGAAATGGATAGTGACTTATACGTTTAGCAATGCAAGTAAATTAATAGAAAACTTTTAAAAAATGGCTGATATTTTTGATATTATAGTTAAATTAATAGATTTCGTTAATTATGTGCCCCATGCTTTCATCGATATAAAATTGTAGATTAATTCCGTAAATACTATTATTTAATCTACTATTCCCATTAAACTATATACTATTTTTATATTTTTCTTCTTTGAGTGCGTTAATTATCAGATCCTTTTTAAATAACTTCTCATTGTATAAAAACAAAAACCTTTTACGTAATTGTATTTTATTCATAAACAATTTTATTTGCTAGAATGGTTTATAATACTAAATTTATGGTTTATAATACTAAATTTTTAGTCGTTGGGCGATTAAAAAAAGTAGTTTTTTTGACAGGGCGACTGATACTCTCCAACTTGGCTCATGTGTTCCCCTTCTTAAAGTAAAATCTGAACTGTCTGCATCTGTAAAGATTTAATACAAAATTCTTCATTAATTCGTCCTTTTCTTCACAAAGGAGAAAGGAGTAGATGCGAAAATAAGCGCCTTAAAACACATCACCTGGCCAACGGGAATAAACTTGCTTATAAATTAAGCTTCATAAACGTCGCATATGCAAAAGATTACAATTAAATAACTACTCTCAATTTTCATCGAATCTTCCTATAAGCTTGATAGCCGGAACTCACTGTGACCTCTGTATCCCCAAAGGAGACTTAATCCTCTTGCAGAGCTCTGTAAGCTGAATAATATCTGGTATAGTTAGCAAAGAATAGACTTCACTACCAACAAAGCTTATATCTTCTGTAATAAAAGTTCTTAAGGGGAAAATATCACAGAATGCAGATGATGCATTCTGTTTAGCAGCGGCATTTAGGAAACAATCTTTTCTTTTAGAAATCTTTAGCTTTCATCAGTATCATTATGTAACTTCCTAGAATTTTTAAATTTTGCATAAATGTATTATTTGGAAGACTTTTAGGATCTCAAATACTTAACATATGTTTCTTTAAGGGGGCTCATACACCTTAAACCCTTTATGATCTTCGAATAGGTGACTGTTGCAAGAATTGGGATAACTTATTTATTACTTCCAACTTTTTATGGCTGACTATATAATATAGTTGCTTTCTGAAATCGTAATTAGAAAGTTTGTGTTGCCACAAATATTTTTTTAATTTAATCCGCTTTGTGACAAAAATTTTCGACATGCTTCCACTTTGCGCGCACAGTTTAAAATTATATGTTGCATTATTTAATTCTCTAGTTTATATATAGCTTTTATAACATTTGGAAACTACTGCAAACCAAAAAAAAAAAAAAAAAAAAACTGAGAATTTCATGTTAAATTTTTATTTTATTTGGAGTTGAGTTTATAAAATATATTTCATTAAAAAATCTGTAATGTTTTCGTGCATAAAATATTTTAATATTAAAATATTCATCAGATTTTTGGTTCAGTTAGAAAATAGTGCCCATATAAAGAATTCCATCCAATTTCAAGTATGTACCGTTAGCCATTTTTAAAATATCATGTGCGCAAGGTGGAAAAATGACGAAAAATTTTGTCACAAAGCGGATTAAATTACAAAAATATTTGTGGCAACACAAACTTTCTGGTTACTAGTTTCCAAAGCAGCTATATTATGTAGTCAGCTGTAAAACGTTGGAGGTAATTACTTTTAAAATAAATAAAATATCTCAATTCTTTCAACAGTCGCATATTCGAAGCTCATAAGGGGTTTAAGGTGTATGAGTCTCCTTAAGTCACAAATGAAAAAGAAACGACTTTCTACACATTTCAATTGTCAGTATTATTTATATCACATTTGAACATGCCTGAAGTAGTGCAGCAGACCTTTTCGTGTTTTTGAATTGAATGACAGAACCTTTCAGTGCATAAAATACTTATAAATTAGTTCTTGGAATTTTAAGAACATAAGTGACATTTTTTCCGTCTAAACGCACCTGCATGTTTTGAATTATTACACTTTTATAACTAGAACATTGCAAGCTTGCAATTTCTTCTAAACTTGCGT